AGTAGAAGCGGAAGGTGTAGGCAGATGGGTGGTTTTGGATGGTGGATTGGAGCTAAAAGAAGTGGAAGAAGCGATATGGCGTGAGGTCAAAGAAGCGCTGCGGGGTGGTGATGACGGGGAGTTGGGAAGCGTGAAGAGACTTTGGGACAAAGATCGTGAAGGGGCAGTGCTTTCATCGCTCTACATTTAAGCTAGACGGCGTGCTGGGGCGCATGTGTACGCTGAAGAAGATATCATCAAATCTGTATATCACTGATTTTCATGCACTGTATAGATCATACTGAGGAGCGTTGTGTAACGTTTCAATTGGAATATCTGTAGACATGAATCCGCCAAAACTACCGATATGGAGGAAGCTTTTTCAATTCGTGACATTTACACTGATCGCTGTACTCAAAGTTCACTACACTGCAGGGCGTTATTCTGATAGAGTCGTCATGAGGCATGCGAATCGATCACTGGTGCGCATATGTGAACTCGAAGACTTCGCTGGGAAGGTACTGGGGCGGCTCCGTCCTGGTCGAAACCAAGGGCCTCACAGCAATCTAAGCACAGTCAGCAGCTAGTTCATGGCAATCAATCAAGGATCGTAGACTGACAGGTAACCCGAAGGTCGATTCAGCCGCGCCGCTTAAGGTCCAGCCAACTGGCTGGCCGTCCGGCAACTTGGTCGTAACACTGCAAGACATAGGTGAGTAACGTAGATAGCTTCGGGACCGAATGTATGCTTACATGTAGCCAGTGCGTCCTTCCGTGGTATCGACCTTGGTGATCTTCCAGTCAACGGGGCGAGCATCTTCGCCGAGAGGACCGTCGAGGAAGGCGAAGACGAAGGTTCCGTCCTCGTGCTTATAATATCCGGCAGTACCACCGTTGGCGGTCAAGACATAAAGACCCTTGTCAGTCTTGTCTATCTTCCACTGTAAGCGAACGCGACGTAGGTCAGAAACAGAGGCTTCAACCAAGAATCTCGATAGTTTGGACTCACGTTGCCAGAAGGCTGCACGCCGGGGTACAGAGCGTACACCCTCTTGGGGGCCCTGCTGCGATCCTCCATGGGATGGCGGAAGACGAAGCCCTCTCGCTGGTGGTTGACGATCATGTAGTTGCCGCCTTGGATTGCGTCGGATTGCATTTTTGCTGATGAAGTTGGAGAATTTTGCGGTGAGTGGCGAGTGAATGTGGGAGATGCGTTGTTGCGTCGGCTGTAGGGTGCGCGTAGCTTTATACTCATACGAAGGATCCGCTGCGTTCTTCCCTTCGTGGCTGTAGTCAATGCTCGGGGATGAACATTGCCAAAGCTGTCGTCACACTGTCCAACGGACCCCCTCGATTTTTGGAGGCTGCAGGGAACAGTGGGACGGCAGCTTCAGAACTCGGTGATGATACTAGTCATTCGATGTTCCGTTACGCAAACGTGTTGCGTCCTGCTGGCCCCATGGATACACTTGTGCAGGTCAGATTGCCCGCTGAGGAAGAATATCAGCAACACCATTTCCACAAACCCAAAGAACACCGTGCAAACCATGAGCCGTGACAGATCCAGGGTGTGGCATCCTAGCCGCACAATTTGCAGTAGAGCATGGGCAGCGTCAGATGACGATACAGCTGTCCGTACTTGGGAATACATGTTTACATCGCGGTTGAACAAATGACGGCGACGTGTGCTTGGGTCTGTTCGATGACGGCGATCAATATCGAGAGCTCGAGTTTCGTGTGCATTGGGGGCACAAAAACATAGAGTAAATGTAATGTTAGCTCCAAATAAACAGAGCATGAACGTCAATTCACCGCCGCAGTCCGTCACCAGACCGTGTTGGAGGGCTGGTCAATTTCTTCTTGGAGAGCAACGGAATGTTTATAGCCCTGTTTCGTCAATGTTTCAACGTCGCTCGACATGGTCTATAGTTGCTATGGAGTGATCTTGTATGACCAACTTTGGAAACTGAGTGAGCTCTTGGACGACTGAGAAGAAAAAGCGCGGTCTGCGTGGTGCTAAGCGTCCTTCCAATGACATTCCATAGCGAGAACTGCGATGTCTCTCAGCCAAACCATCTTGACCGAGGAAATTGTCCAGACGTAAACGCCGAACGAATGCCACGGAACTTTGCTGACTGTTCTTGATGACGTCACATAGGCGCCATGCCAGATCAGGCGAGCCTCGGCGTTAAGCGGTCTCGTTTCCCGAACTTTACGACGTTGTGCTCCTCTTCCTCCTCTCCTCCTCCTTCTGAAAGAACAGTCGAACACGCAATACTTGTGGCGACAATGTCGCCGCCTTTGACAGGAAACGTTTGTCATCTTGTCAGCATGCATTTGAAGGATTGACTGCTCAAGGTGATCAACACTCTGTCAGTGCCGTCGCTGCGGTGAAGTTTGTTGTCACCGTATTATTTTCAACGAGTTCGGTGCAAGTCAATGCTTTGTCCACTCCGTGCACGTTGCAAAATTGTGTTACTCGATCTCTTTGTTGTGATGCTCAAGCCTTTGTACTGGGAGTCGTCTGCTCGAGGGACGGGAGTGCAACTTGAGCTGAGTAAGATTTCGGTGAGAGACCGTTCCAGCTTCAATTTGCACATCTTGCGCACTGTTATCTGACCTGCTGAAAGCTAGGTTTTGATCGCGAAGATGTTCCGTGATGCGCTTAAACAGATTCCTTTCGGTGTGGCGACCCATGTCCGCGATATTGGTCAGCTCATCGCGATCTGCCAGTTTGCTGCCAGTGGTTTCAAACAACTCGGTTTAGGGCATGTGCCGCACAGCAACCTGGATGCCGTTTCTTTCCAACGTGTTCCAGTTGCATCGTCGAGAAAGTATCTCTACCCGAGGCTGCAAGTTGGAACGAGGTCGGATGCTAGGAGCTCAGGTGTGACCAGGCGGCGGATTAGCGTCGACGTCAATCCGTATTTACGCTGCGAATCATGCCCAAAATTATGATACACCAGGAGAGCAGGACAGAGATTCTTGTCATATCAATGACATTCTGACTATGCAGGTGCTTACAAACGCAATGGCAAGAGGAAATTTTGAGTGTTGCCGCCATCTGGTCGCCTACTAGCATGGAAACTCGTGGGAACCCATGGGAAGATCGGTGAGTGTTGAGTAGAATCAGTACGCAGTTCCCTAATTGAGCGATGCAAGATGCTTGCATGCCTGCTAGCCGACTTGGAGCAGCATACGGCACAGTCTAGTCCAACGGCCTACGCGCACCATGGCCTGCGGTATAAAAGCACGCTGTTCAAGCAGCGAAGAGCTCACTCACCACTCCAACGCCTCTCCTCTCAGGAAGTATGGGTTTCCCTGGCAGACGGCAGAAAAATCTACTCGCTGACGACATTGAGCAGAAGAAACCTTCAGCTTCGAAACCTTCCTCATCCTCTACCGTACCCGCACCAGCATCAAACAAAATGGCTCCCAAAGTCGCTATTGTCATCTACACCATGCACGGTCACCTTGCCAAGCGTACGTCCCGACTCTCTATCATCGGTTGTTGCCGCCACAGTCTCATCCGACGTATCTCTCCTCCGTAGTCGCCGAGGCAGTCAAGGCTGGCGTCGAACAGGCCGGTGGTTCTACCACTATCTTCCAGTACGCACCGCGTTTGAGTTGACCGGATAGTTATGCGTGTGCTCACATGAGAGACCGTTCACTTAGGATCGAAGAAACCCTTTCCGAGAGTGCGCTCGCGGAGAAGCATGCCGCTCCCAAGCCCAACTACCCTGTCTTCACACCTGCACAACTCTTGGAATTCGATGCCTTCCTCTTCGGTATCCCGACTCGCTACGGTAACTTCCCCGTTCAGTGGAAGGTAAGTGATTGAAATTAACAAGGCGTATTTCGAATGACTCACGTGCTCATATGTGCTTCGCAGTCGTTCTGGGATGCTACCGGTGGCCACTGGGTCAAGGGCGCGCTCACTGGCAAGTACGCCGGTGTCTTCATTTCCACTGGAACTCTCGGTGGTGGTCAAGGTTGGTCGCATTGGAGCACTTTCGAATTGACTCTTATGTCCTCTTACATCCTTCTCTAGAATCTACCGCCATCGCCAGCATCTCGACTTTCACCCATCACGGTATCATCTACGTCCCCCTCGGCTACAGGGATGCCTTCGACATCCTCTCCAATGTCGATGAAGTCCGCGGCGGTATGTGCAAGCAGTCTGTTCGTGCGCTTGATTTGTTTTCTGACGCGTCACATTTGTATAGGTTCCCCCTGGGGATCTGGTACTTTCGCCGGTGCTCGTGGCGGGCGCAACCCGTCCGCCTGAGAGCTCGAGTCAGCGCCACGGCAAGTACTTCTACAACACCGTCAGCAAGGTGGCGTTCTAGGAGTATGTAGTACGCTTTACAAAGCACCACGGATGACGACTCGACGCGTCGACCGAACGTACCAGTTGTACCCTTATCCAATGTACCTGAGGCTGAGAACTGAGATGGAGATGAAAGCTTTTGTTTCTGTGACTTGCGGGATCGAACTACTTATGATGGCACTACCTGAAGGGTACCGGTATACCGTATACTAACTCGATCAACTTCTATGGTACTACGGTCACTCGGACAGTCGAATGGATACCCTCCGCCTTGTAATTGATAGTGGATCTCTGAGACTGACTTCAGATAGTTTTGGTCGAAATACGATGCCCTGGCGTGTGGAAAGTTGTTGGAATTAATATGGACATAGAGGGACTTATAGCAGAAAATAGAAGGCACTGAACACACTGGGATTCGAACCGCAGATCTCAGCAGTAGTCGACTGTGTGCGTGTGTGTTATCCATTACACTATGCGTCCGTTGGCTCAACTATGCTTCACAACACACCCCCTCACTCTGCTATCATCTGATGCAAGAGTGGACCAGTAAAGGTTTCCAACGGACCTAACCACCAGATCGTTGCCATAGTAGGATCGTCAGATCTGGATAGGGTAACAGCATCCCAAGTGTGTTCACCATGTTGGAATTAATATGGACATAGAGGGACTTATAGCAGAAAATAGAAGGCACTGAACACACTGGGATTCGAACCGCAGATCTCAGCAGTAGTCGACTGTGTGCGTGTGTGTTATCCATTACACTATGCGTCCGTTGGCTCAACTATGCTTCACAACAAAAGTTTTCCGTGAATTCGAACGTTGAACAGCGCGAGTGGTTGCCGCGTTGTCAAGTTGGAGCTTGACGGCCCGCGCCCCGGGCCGACGCGCCGGGCAGGAGCCAGTCCGCTCTCCTTCTGCTGCTGCTCCGCAGCTGCAACTTCTCGGTCAGTATTCGTATCCTCACTACTGATTTTTTATTCAAGTGCTCTGAGATCCGCAGTGACCGAGAGCCCAGGTCACATCATGGCTTGATGTCAATAAAATATCGACAAGCTCACCGCGCAGCGCCCACTTTGGACTTATATCTTCTCATCAAGCCTAGTCTCCGTGGCGAACCTCGGTACGCAAGACGACCGTTCGGTAAAAGCCCACATCGTCTGCTCAAATCTTCAAGCACATAAAGATCTGCCGCCGACGCTATGCGTAGTATATATTCAGGCATCCTCTTTGTGCAGTGAATTCTCAGCCTGGAGCTCAGTATTCCCTCCCTAGATATCGATCCAACTCATTTGAAGCGCAGGACGGTCAGTTGTAATCGTCGTTGTTTCATTCTGCAGCCGGTCAAACTGAACACCAGTTTGATCTTTTTGCAGCTTCTTCTACCTTCTTCAGTCCTATTTCACTCCAAGGTTTCTCGCCAAATCGGACTACCGCGCCATGCGCTTCTTCACTACTGCTGTCTTCGCTGCTCTCACCGCAGCCGCCGCTGCATTGGCTGCCTCCACCGGAGATGCTTACCCACCACAACTTGGACAGGTGTCCCAGGAGCACAACGTAATGCGCAGATTCGTCGCCGTCCTGGATGCTGTCTACGCTCGCGCCGTAGAAGACGGCCTTCAAGCACGCACCTTTTCTCAACACAGGTACCCGCGTCGTGAGCTTGAAACGTGAGACTCTGCCTTTCGTTCGTTCATTTTCCTCAATCAGCTAACATACTACGTCAATGGTCATAGGCTTCTGAGAAGACTGTCCCCGATTGAAGAAGAACCAGCTGAGCCAGCGAATAACCATGCTGGTGGTGCCGGTGATGCTGGGAAGAGCGGTGCTATTGGCCATCCCGAAACTCCTGGCAGTATCCATAACACCGAAGCTCCTGACCCTCCTCCGCGTCCTCTCGCTGCTTCAAATACCTTTCCTACCGGTCAGCGCCATGGCCAAGGTGGCTTGGCTCAGCCAGAAACGTATGGTGTCCGAGGTCGGAGACTTACGTTTGCCTCGGGTACCAAAGATCCTGCTCCAGGGTCACGACCTCCTCCCCCGCCGCCTCGCGTCTCGCAACCTTCTCCCAAACAACCTGGAGGACTCAAGCGTCTTGTCAACAAATTGACCGGGAAACCTGCGTAGAACCCATGCACCTGCATGTGTCCTTTAGAACCCGTACGGTAGTGACTTGAGAAGTTATGCACACATCGAACTGGTGATTTCACCATGGCGAGGCAGTTCAAACGAGGTCACAAACACATCACTGCCGCTCGCTACTTGGAGACATCTGAGGATCCGAGGTCGTCAACTTCAAAAAACACACTGCAGAGGCAAAGGTCGTTGTAGAACGTCAGTACTCAGTCTCAGCACGCTCCCCAAAGATGACGACCGCAGACGAGCTACTGCAGAGCGGAGGTCAGAGGTGCAAACATACCGTACACTTCGCTTGTAACGGCGCACGACATTGCAAGACAAGCATGACACGTTACTTAACAACACGTTCCCACTAAGGTAAAAGGCGAGTATACAGAGGATATTAGTATTGTACGATCTCTACTATCTAGTTGAACCTTTGCAACAGCTGCGCAAAACAGAACAACCAAAATCAGCTCCTCGGAAGTGGCAAGCACAAGCAGCGAAACACGCACGTATTGCACCTCAATATCCGTAGTGGTATCAATCAACTCCCTGAAGACCTTCGCGGCGACGTTTCCAAGTTGAGTGGGGAATGTGGCGGGCTCAGCAGCTCCTGACGCAACCCAGGCTGTGCTGAACGCGGTAGCAGCAGTGGCGGCCTGAGCGAGGACACCGGCTTCTTGAGTGGTGTTGGTGAGGAGGGTGCGGATCTGCGAGGTGTTGATGGCTTTGATCAACGGTGTGAACCCGGAGACGTCAGCGGCGTATTTGCTCTCGGCGACGATCTTGCCGAAGGATGTGCTATGCACGCAAAAGTGGTATTTCTGATTGAGCCAAAAGCGAAGAGAGTGATATGATAAGTTGCTTACCGGTGAGAGAGCAAAGCCAAGATCGTAGCATCCAAGTTCAAAGTGGCATCATCGTTCACCTGCGAGCCGTCCAAATGGTAGAAGTAACCCGTCGACGCGTTAAATAGAGGTACCAATGTGTTGAGGTAGAAGCTCAACAATGAGGGATTGCCAGAGTACGAATCCTGGTGGAAACGGCCGGGAGGGAAGGGGTTGGACTTGGACGTGACGTCGGGCTTCACAGCGTTGAAGGTGAAGGGGTACTCGAGCTTGCCGTACGCATACCGACCGAGGTTGTTGGCGGTGGCCTCGCGCGGCTTGATGTATTTGAGCAGTGCCGAGCCGTTGTTGGCGTACAAGGCGGGGTTGCTCGGGAGGTTCAGACGTTCGGTGAGAGCGCTGTACATCGGAATATATGAGCCAAACTTGCTAGCAAGCGCGTTGTATGCATCGGCCGATACTCACCTGATGATGGGGGCCTCCAGCTGAGCGAGGATGTCCTACAAAACGAACCAGAAGTCAACCTCGACGCGTCCCCCTTCGTGGAAGAATTGCGACGACGTACCCGAATCTGGACCAAAGTGGGAACAGTGAACACGGGGTTCTTGGCAGTAACGTTCGCAGATGCATCGTCATCCCGGACCACCACAGCGCCAAAGACAGACGCTACAGAGCAAGCAACGAGCACAATCTTCGTCAAACCCAACATGATCGCGAAATTCTACTCGGGGAGATTGAGGAGGGTAGAGAGGTCGTAAGTTGGGAGAGAGGAGGAGGAGATGAAGGGCTGTGTCGCTCTGGGGGAAAGAACGAGGAGAGCGTCAGTAGTGTTATATATATACTCGCTCATCGTTGGCTGCGATGATCAAGAGCTTAGGCTCAGAGGCAAGGGACGAGCGAGCGAAAGCATGATGACGGATCAGGGGGAACGAAACATTCGGGATGACAGTGACCGACGAGTAGCGTCGTTCCTGAATCAAAATCCTGAAGCAAGAGATGCGCTTTGTGCTTAAACTGTTATTGGTGCGGCCCCTTCGGTCCTGGGCGACTGTTGGGCAAATAAATGAGGGGAAGGTCTCACAGAACGTCGGGGCTGTCAGAGAGAGAGGAATGTGGTGGTTTATGAGATGAAACGTAGGGTTGGGGGAACATAATATGTATAAAGACCAAATCAAGACTCACCTTCGAGTAAGGACAGCGAGGACGACGATGAGCTCCCTCGTCTCCAGGTGCTGTGGCGAGCGCGACGACGACGACGAGAGGATGTTGCCAGCAGGACGGATGACGCGATGCCGCCGCCACCTCCGACTGGCATGTCGTGCCATCCTTCCCATGCATATGGCTCAAGTGGTCCTGAGAAGGCAATTCTCAGCCAGATTCGCCCTGAGAAACTGTGCAGAAAACTGCAGGGATGCAGATGGGAGGACGAATTTACCGAAGATGGTTGCCAGCTTGTTGGCCGAAATAACCAATTCTTATTCTAGATCGCAATCTACACGATCGCGTACGATCGGCCGGTGTTACCCGAGTCGGCTTCCTCGACGGCATGGTATGTTTTCCTATGTTCTCCTCGAAATGTCTCGTAGCTGGTGTGCACAGTCGCTATAGTAAGTCGCTATCTACCCAGTGGAATGTGGAGTAGTCGGATGAACCTCTTGTTGAAGAAGGCCATCGACGAAAGGCAAAGCAAATTTCTCTTCGCAAATTTGTGTCGTTCGAAACTTCGGCGGAATGTGATCATCATCATCTCAACAACTTGAACGTCAGGTGGTCAGCAGCGTTCGGTTAACTGGTGACTGCAGCCGCGGTGTAGCGTATGGCTCTTTTTTGCGGATTCCAGATGCTCGACGGGCGTATGTCTTGGCAACCATTGGCAACCATTGCGACTTTTACCGTCTCCGATGCATCTACAGCTGAAGCACTGAACAATCACATTGAGACTTGAGCACAGAGGAACCCCCCGTACGACCTCGTACGACAAGCGCAGAGCTAATTCACTGCACTGCGGACCTGACCAAGTACTGTACCTGCCCCAAAGCCAACTAGTAGCGAGAAGTTGGCAAGGTACGAAAGTTTGGAACGGTTATGAGGCAAATTTGAAGATCCTTCGTACCTGCTCGGGCAGGTTCGAGTTCACTGCCACCATATGCGTAACATGACGAAGCCCGCCCAGGTACCAGCTCATGCGCGCGGTCGGCCTGTCCTGTTTGACGACGCACACGGTACCTTGGTCAAGAAATGGAACGAGGCTTACCCTGAGGCTACGACACGTCGCACTGTACCTGGTGGCGGCGTACACAAGAGAGAGAAGGAACGGAATTGCATACGACTCGCATACTGATACACAGGCGGGGATCCGCTCAGAACCATGTAAATATCTTCTATGTACCCAAAATTGTCCCGGTATGTATCTCTGCCTACAGCCCGAAAAAGATCCACGTCCGTCCGGACCCCAATATCGCCAGGTGCATTGGGCACAATCCCAGCCGCTGAGGTGTTGAAAAGAAAGAAAAAGGCGTCGTAAAGTGGCGTAAAAGCAAAGCATCTCCAACTAGATCTCCCAAGCGAACCGTGTACACCTCTGCGTGTCCGAGGCTACGGCATACCGGCCTTCTTGGTGGCAAACGTCGGACCCGACCCCCTTCGAGACGGACCCTCATCCACATCATACTCAAACTCGTCGCTCATAGACGACCGACGAATATCCCTCAACGCCATTCCATCCTGGTCCGCCGACGTCCCCGTATCCTCGCCGTCGTCGTTGCCCGTGGCGAAAAACGTCGCGAAGGGCTGGAAGAGGACAGC